CATAAAACAAGCCAAAGAAAAAGAACACCCCCAAAGAGTAGGGCAGCTTCTTCAGGGTAATGTACATTTTTATTTATATATATCAGGTCATCCTTTTGCTGAGAGGCATGGAGGGGCAGTGAGACTGAAGTTTTCTTTCCAGACGGTTTGGGGTGATTTGAATTTTTATCTGTGTCTGTTACTATTTAAAGGTATAGTTTACATGTTTCTTTCACTTTCTGTGGTTTCAGAGATCCTTTTAATTTTTGAAGACCTAAATTTTTATTGTAAGTAAGAATTGATTATTTGACTTTAATTTTTTGATAGGTTACAGGATTTTTTTTTTTTCAGAACATGTGCTTCACAATGCCTTTACTGTATTCAGATTATTATGGCTTTCTTCCTGTACTCTGCCCTTTGGACTAGGGAAATCAACCCAGCCCTGATTTCTGAGATAATTTAAAACTTTCTGGTAAGGCTAGAACACACCCACATAGCCAGCCAGAATGTATTCTGAGACCATGCCCGGACTTCACTACTTATGAACTATGTATAGGAGGTACCAACATGGGCAGAAACACTTTAAAAAAAAAATGAATTAATGCTTAAATGTTAAAACCCACAAATGTGTTTGGCTTTGGGGTGTCTAGGTGTAAGACATTTATGGTTCATGACTTTCACTGTTAGTACTAAATTTGCTTGTGTCATATATCTCCTGCTGAAGCTGTCTTTGAATTTAGTGGTAAGGATAATATTGATAGTAGAAAGGAAAATCCCTGTCTTTCTTCCAGCTTTTATAGATCCTGTGCAGGTTTTTTAAAAAAACTGAACTTTCTATGGTGTTGGCACATGGGTGATTCGGTGATGGGAAGCCCACGGGGATTACAACTGAGATGGAAAAAGGCACAAAATGATGTAAAAATAAACTGTTATATTATTTAAACAAAACAAAAATTGAACTTTTGTATAGGATGCTTACCGAGCCCTGATTCAATCTACCTTTGCCTTCCTCAAATAGCCCTGTGATTGCTTTGGCTACTTGATGTTTGGCTTCAGGTTAGCTTATGAAAATAAGTGGCAGTTGGTGAAGTGTCTCCACCTCCTAGTGGTGCTGGAATTTTCCACACCAAATCCCACTTTTGTGCCCAGGGACTGAACCTGCACACCTTGTAATAATAGGTCTTCAGGGAGGATTCTAGAGTTGCTTATAGCATTGCTCAAAATAAACAGACTTTGGATGCTTTCGGAAAGGCAGGTCTGGCCCCAGGAACTCTCAAGAAGTATTCTTGGAAGGTCTTTGCATCCTCTGGGAGGGCTAACAGCAGAGCTTTTGGAGCTGGGAAGAAGGTTCTGGGCTCAGCTCCACAGGTGGAGAGGTGAAGGCTTTGCTTCCATCTGAGCCTCTCTTTAACTTCAGCTACTTCCCCTTTTCAGGTGCCTTCAATTAGTACCTGCAACAGCTAACCTACCTTCCTCACCAAGGCTACTATTTGACACATGATTGTCAGAAGACGAAAATACAAATAAACCTTCCTACATCTAAGTGACAAATATGCCAACTGTTTCAGGCTTGGACCTGGAATATGTATTGAGAAGACACTAGTCTGGCAGGGGGTGAGGTGAAGACCTTGCATTTCTCAGTCTACCTCTAGCTGTATGTCATGGCTTTAGAAACCATAGAAGAATTCTCCTAAAGGTCCAAAATTGTAGTTCACGTATTTTTCTCTGATCTTGGCTGTATTTTGTTAATCCAATCTAAGTTCTTGCTGACTTGTATACTGGAATTTATGTAATCTTATGATTTACGGTTGGCAAGCTGTGGCAGGGTTTTCCCCTTTCTTCTTTTACTTTAGGACATTTAGATTAGAAGTTTAAAAGTTCCTCACAAAGCATTAAAATTTGAGCCCTTCTTTCTGTGTGCTGCTGCAGAAGATGGCCCACCAAAGATAGGAGTGAATGCAAAGTAGGAATTTTGGTAGAAAAGAAAGAATTGGAACTTTGCAGAAATGCAGAGCTGATTTTGAATCCTGGCTATACCTCTTAATAGTTACAAGGTTCTGTACCAGTGACCAAACATCTGTAAAATGAGTATTAATGGAGGAAGAGAGTAGAAAACCTGAGGGAGGTATCACAAGGTTGGAACCTGACTCATGCAGGGAGGTGGGGGCAGAAGGACCATTAACCCAGTCATAGAGACTCCTATATCAGACTACTGTAGGAATATCGGAAGCACAGACCTGAGGGTAAAGATACAGAGATTGGGCCCATTGTGAGATTCTACATAGTTATCCAAAATAAGCAGCACACAGGCCACTCCACAAAGGAATGAGCCCCTCCCATATCAGGGCAGTCTCTGTGCTGGCCTGGGGCAGCAGTCCTCTGCCAACCTGTGGCTCTGCTTCTTTCTACCCACTCTCTCCCTCTGCAGGGCAGCAGCCTCCTGCCTGCCCATGATGTGTACCATGCTGAGGCTTCTCTGCACTGACCTTCCTCAGCGAGGCCGCTCTCCTGAGGCCACTGGCCTGCAACTATGCAGGCCTTTCAGCAAGCCTGTCCCTTTCCGGGCAGCTCTGCTTGCATCTATGCAAGCATCCTTCTTTCTGTCCCAGCTTCTAATGAACCTGCTCTTTAAATATAACAGAGTCTCTGTCTTGTGGAGAAACTCACCTGGGGAACTCACTGCATGTCATTAAAAAGGGACCTCTTGTGAAACCTTTCCCATAGTGAACCCAAGAGCCCCACACAAAAATGACATCAAGTATAATACCCACTTGTCATTCGTGCAAGACTTAAACAAGTATGTTTGCAAGAGTTATAGAATCATTACTGTTGAAGCTGCTGCGTAAGTGCTGGGTTTCTGGTTCCCTCTGCTCCCACTCCTTGGAGTGCAGAATGAGCTACCATAGTGGGGGCAGTGATCTGCTCTGTGAACAAGATAGGCCGAACATCAAAGAGGAGATTGTGCTTACTCAGGTGAAACCATCATTTCCTTAATGTCCATGTCCTCCTCTCTTAAGTAGGTCACTACAAAGAACTTCACAGCTTGGACTTTCAGTTGGTGAGGGTAACTCTGGGGATGGCTGTGAACAGACCATGTGTTTGGAGTTGTTTGTCCTGGCCAGGTCATGTTATGAATCAGACCGACATTCTTTCTGTATACCAGATGGTAAATGTCAAGGGCAGATTTCCTTTCTCTGAACTTTGTCTTTCAATGGCCTTGGACTGATAGAATATCATTTGCCAGATTTTATAGTAGTTTGCCATGCTCATGTGAAATACTTGAATGGTGTGTGAAGTGTTCCTTTTCTGCTTATAAAGCAAGGAGGAATACCTCCTTTTCTTTTTATTAAAGTTTTTTTAATTTATGCATACAGAACTGGGGTACAGGCCAGAGGTGCAAGGGAGTGAGAGGATTCACCAGAGACAGAGAGGGGAGCAGAACAGGCCGACTGAAGTACACTGCTGAGGGGAGCAGCGGGTGGGTCAGGAGAGGTCTGCTGCGCAATGTGGATCACCTCCAGGGCCAGGATCAAACTCATGCTGAAGTGGCTTTAGCTTCTTAGTGCTGTGCTTTTAGCCCGCTGCATCATCAGGGAAGGCCTGGAATACCTCCTTTTAATTTCTCATTTAAAAAAAACTTGTGGCAAAATATACATAACAAGGCTTACCTTTTAAACTAATTTTAAGTACTGAGTAGCTGGTATTTGTAAGCGTTGAGTAGCTGACACTGAGTATATTCACACCAGTGTGCAGCCATCACCAGCATCCATCTCTGAAACTTTTTTATTTTCCTCAGCTGAAACTCTGTACTTGCTGAATTCTTAATTCCCAGGTCACTCCCCGCCTTAGTTCCTGGTGACCACTCTTCTATTTTCTGTCTCTAAGAATCTGATTATTCTAGGAACTTCTTATAAATGACATCATAATACGTGTCACTTTGTGGCTTGTGTATTTCACTCTTTAAAAAACATGCTTTGGGGCCCTCCCTGGTGGCGCAGCGGGTTGAGGCACAGCACTGAGAATCTAAAGCCACTTCCGCATGAGTTTGATTCCCGCCTGCCCTGGAGGTGACCACATGGCGTGGCAGACCTCTCCTGACCGGCCCGCTGCTCCCCTCAGCAGTGTGCTTCGTCGATCTGCCTGTTCTGTTCCCCACTCTGTCTCTGGTGAGGCCTCTCGCCGCCCCTGAGCTTCTGGCCTGTACCCCAGTTCTGTATGTACAAATAAATAAATCTTAAAAAAATAAAAATAAAAAAAAACATGCTTTGGGTGATTTGGTGATGGGAAGCCCAAGGGGAGTACAACTGAGATGGAAAAATGCACAAAATGATGTAAAAATAAACTATTATTAAAAAAAAAACATGCTTTCATGTACTGTTCTATAGACCACTATTTTTTTCTGAGATTTACTTGTAAATTTACACTTTACTGGCCCTCCCTGGTGGCTCAGCGGGTTAAAGAGCAGTACTGCAAGCTAGCTGCAGCTGCTTCACTGAGTTTGATCCCTGGCCTGGAAGTGACCCACATGGCACAGCAGACCTCTCCTGACTTGCCCGCTGCTCCCCTCAGCAGTATACTTTGTCGCTCTGCCTGTTCTGCTCCCCACTCTGTCTCTAGTGAATCCCATTGCCCATACCACTGGCCTGTACCCCAGTTCTGTATGAATAAATAATGAAAAAAAAGTTTTAAAAAATTTACACTTTACTTTCTTATCAGTTTTGTGTATTAACTTTGCATTTTTTATTCTATTTAAGGAAAATCCCTATCATAAGAAATGTCATGGAATTTAAATTTTATTTTTAGAAAAAGTTCTTTGTTGGCTCGTTAGGTGGTTATGCACTAAGCAGAGTCTGACCCTGTCTTTGCCCAGTGGGTGTGCCTCCAAAAATAAAATATACGTCTGTTCTCACTCCCCTTCAGTGATTGGTGGTAACAGTGTGGAGAGGCCATTTAACGGGGGTTGTGAGTATTGTTTTAGGGTTTTCAATTCAGCAGTGACCACTCACCTGTTCTCTCTATAGGTGGTATACCTTGAAATCCAAACCAGGAAAGAAAGAAAAAGAGCGAGGAGAAATTGAGGTTGACATCCAATTTATGAGAAACAACATGACCGCTAGCATGTTTGACCTTTCCATGAAAGACAAGTCTCGGACTCCCTTTGGGAAGCTAAAGGACAAGATCAAGGGGAAGAATAAGGATAATGCATCCGACACAGCTTCAGCCATCATCCCCAGCACAACTTCAGTTGACAGTGATGATGAGTCTTCGAAAGACAAGAAAAAGAAGTCAAAGATCAAGACCTTTTTTTCCAAGTCAAATTTGCAGAGAACACCCCTTTCCCAGTCCATGTCTGTCCTGCCTACTTCAAAGTCAGACAAAGTCGTGCTTCGTCCTGGGGACCTTCATTCCCAGTGGGGGGATGATGACAATGAGGATGAATCTTCTTCTGCCTCAGACAGTGAGTTTCTGCCTTCTCCTTCTTCCTGGGACATCTCTTAATTGGTTTAACCAACTTTGCTTTGAGAGAGAAGAAACAAACAAATCTTAAGAGAAAGAATTTTAAGTCAGCTCCCCTGTTACTGAAATGGTCACGACGGTAGTCATGTGGGAAGATGGCAATGATGGTATGGTGCAGGTGTGATGTGATGGGGGTGGTGCTTGAGGTGATAATAGGTGATTGTGGATAGGAAGTCCCTTTTGCTAAGTCCTCTGGTTTCCAGGGATGTGTAAGTTCCTTTTCTACAGTGCCTGGTACTAAAATTGGTAAGTCTTTAAAGCTAATAGAATCGAGTATATCTGGGTTTTTTTTTTTTTTTT